TACCAATTTAGGATGAATACAGAACGAAGTCACATCATTATTTACGTAAACATTGACATCGGGGGACGATGCCGATATGACAAGGACGTAAATAAGATACGCATATAGTTCAGCGGCTACACAGAATGAAACATCCATATATTACTTGATTTAAAACAAAATCAATAGGTATTACGTAAATAGGAATTGCGTTAGGGTAAGTTTAATGTTGTTGCGTCTTTTCAGAGTTATATATTTGCAATGTTCTGAAATCTGCTGACAAATCGCTTGTCACTTCCTCCTACTTGATATCCCGTGTAACGTTGAATATCCACACACCAACGTATAAAAGAGAAAGGTTTACCAAGCAACTTTCGATCTCAGTTTGATGTAGTATAAGAGCACGCAGACATGGACGCAACTACTTCCATTCAACTTAATTTTTTCATAATCCCGAAAGTATATCACATGTGTACGTATACAACCGATTCAGTGACAAGGACAGTTTATTTTCGTTTTAATGAATATTGCTTTAAATGTCGGCTGAAATCGAAATAAGAAAATGAGAACGGCTCTACCCCATGGCCACTTCATAATTAATTTCTTTTGCTAACATACAAGTATATTTGTGTGAAATAAGCCAAGAAGGGGTTCTTAATCTGCCCACGCATGGATTTTATTCAAACGTTGCCATTTTAATGTTCAGGTGAAATCACTTCAGAAACCGATGTCATTATTTTCCAGTCTGTAAAGAAAATCAGGAAGGGCCTGTTTTGGTGATTATCGTGTACCCTTATATTTGATGTCATAAGTACACAAAATCAGGATTGATTTTTTTAGATGTTTCAAATTAATACTGTGGAGACACTAAGCATTTCATAAATTTATATTTTGTATGTTTTAAGTCAGTAATATAAAAAATCAACTGGCTTCCCATGAACACACTCCATTAGAAATATCGACCAAAACAATCACACTTGAACATTCAAAGTCTATAATTTATAGGCACTCATAGATGTCTCATCTTCGTAAGTCGTTAATAATAGTTTTAGGGTATTGTTTACATTAGTGAAAATTTGTATTTAAATTGAGAACCAGGAGCATAGTCTACCAGCCTGTCTTACATACTGTAGTGTCGAGGGTCTGTTTACATTACGTCATCCGGGCTTCAACCGGGAGGAAGACGCCAGAGACCCCGTGCTGCTTGAGTGAGTATTCCTTGACCCCAACTCTCTTCCTTCCAGGACTCTAATTGTACGGACGGCTTATTGTGCTCTGCAATATTGTAACCCTTTATTACTACAGTGTGCTCTACTTATAGTAGTGACAGTTTCTCGGTGACCTCGCATGTTGTTGGGTACCGTGCCAGATACATATTTTCTAGTATTGTGAGCTATATTACTTGACCTGACCTGTCCAGCGACATTATGATGTAGTCAACCATGTGACGGCTTGCAAGACCAAGACAGAAGGTAATTATTACTTCAATACCTAACCCACTAACACAGACTGACTGAAAATGGACCTAGAGGACATCCTTCGAGGATGCCACCTTTTGATGTCATGCTTTATATACCCCAGTATTTACCTACCACTCCAGTATTGACAAAAATCTCGTTGACTGAAAACATAACTGCTGTCTCGCTGCCTTGCAAGCTATCCTCCAAACTTGGCCTGTCTTCCTTATTTCATTTCAGAGATATCCAATGCTCTCTTAGTTGAAATCAGGCGGGTGGTTGAAAGTTATCATGGTCGTTTAAAGAAGTGGCGTTTTTTCAAGGAGCAAATGATCTCTTGCATGCTATTTCATGAAAATTATCTCAGAATGGGTGTGAATATTGACTGCCTGTTTGAATGGTATCGGTGGTCTAATGTATGTGCATGTATGAAGTGCTGAGCGTGACGAAAAATATCATCGTCTGGCTGAAAAAAATTAAAAACACTACGAAAGTTGAAAATACACCAGCACAGAGGGTAAAGGAACACTGGCAGAAGTAAGATTGGGTGTGCATTTCATTTCCTGACCTTGATTACAGTATTTGGAAACCACCCTGTGGCACTTACCAGCTCAAGCAAGCAGCAGGATATATGGTGGAACATTTTACTTCCTCAGATAACTTTGAGGTGTGGCTGCATCAACATTCAACTGGTTTGCCCAGATTCATTCTAGACATAAATCACAAACAAAATACAATGTCTAGATTCAGAATGATGTTGCAGGTTCCAAAGATCCTATCAAAGACTATTACTGTACTTGTCCCACTGGTAAGCGAACTGTTGGAATGTGTGCACATACTGCTTGTATAAGATACCTTCTGGGAAATGCTTCAAAGCAAACTTCAATAGAACTACATGTATCTTGTAAACGTGTGTCTAATTTTAAGAAATCAGTTGTTTGCTGATATCGGAAATCGTCTGCGATAATCCATTTGGTAGAGAGTCAAACTAGTCTTTTGAAGGTCTTTGGTCTGTGTCCCAGTCTAGCTAGTGCGCTGATTATTTATATATTGGCCTCCCTTCCCAATTTAGCTATGGGACGATGGGAAATATCTGTACAGTATATTACCCTAACCACCCCCACCCCCAACTTCATGAAATTTGGCATGCATTCATACAGTACTATATTACATTTGTTTTTGTCAAACTAATAGGTATAGATAGGTATACAAGTTGTGCATATAATGACAGTAAAACATTATGGTTTAAAATTTGCATCTGTGACCTAGATTTAGATAAATGCAAGCTTGTGTTCCAGAGACTCAACAGAAAGGAAACTTTTTCCTGGTGTTTAATTTTAATATTTTTTTGATGATTGATAGTCAGATAATCAAAATAAATTTCGATTAACTATTTCAATGAGACACTCTGTGGAACTTTAAAAAAATGTTGTTTGAAATAACATACATTAGCAATTTCAACAGGAAAAATATGAATATCTAGTCAGTTTTTAATCACTGTCAACTAAACTATCTTACCGACTTATACAAACTTGGTATCATTTTAATGTAATAAAATACAGTGAGAGAAATGTTATGGAGCTTCAAAAGGAAGTAACATGCATTTATTTGACAAAATGCAAGTCAGGCCCTGCATGGTTTCGAATAAAGATTTTTATAAAAGTCCGTGCGTAGGGAGGGTCTATGAAAATGTTAACGTAGGCAAGAAAGCCATCTTAATTCTATTGTTGTCCACTCTAATGCGTATTATAATATATGAAAAAGTATACCGTTCAGATACACTATTTGCCTACTCCATTCAGTAACGATTAAAGTAAGATTTTACAATAATGTGGCAAACCGTCTACGCTGCGTGGGCCTGGTGATGGCCGAGGAATCCGGATACTGGCAGTGTGGTCGGGATTAGGGTCACCCCTACAGGTTATCCCCATATATATAATAGGGCGTGTTGCAGAGTTCATTGGAATGCCAGTCGGGGAAGTATCATATACTGTAATGCCAGAGGTTTATATAACCTGTGAAAAACTATGTATTTTTATACACATGTATTGATAAACTAAACTTTCATGTGTGTGTATTTCGTGCTGTTGCTGGTTGGCTGCTCTGTTTGTTTCTTGTATACAACGTTAAGTTTTATGTAAATACTTCGGAGAAAATGCATTGACTTTTATAACCTGTTGACCGCTTTTAGTTAACGGTGAAGAGTGTGATAAACCGTCTAAGCTGCTCGGGTTGGATAACGGCCGAGGAGTCCGGCTACCGGAAGTGTGGTCGGAGATCCTCGAGGCTGTCCCTTGGAACTCATTCGGACCAATATTTTAGAATTACCTGAGACCCCGACAGTACAGACATCATACGGATCCAGTCCTGTATTGCTCCCTGTGGCCGCCGATACATGACGGCAGACTATCAGAGTAATCGCACAATATATCCAATTACTCGGCTCACAACAATATCTTTACAAATAATTAAACAGCTTCCCCAATCCTGACAGTTGTCGCTTGAAGTAATAGTCCTAAGCTCAAGCACAAAGATTGATTTATATTTTATGCATTTTTTTTCAGAAAAGAAACATGTTCCGTAATCTCCACTCCTTGTTAGCTTCAAATTATACGTGAAATTCAAACTCGAAAAAGAAAAGAAATATGCCTCGCTCTAGTTCGTGATTTTCAATTCAACTTGGCTTCACAACCTCAGTTTGTTTTTAAACACAATGTTGATAGACATAAATTAATAGATTGATCATGAACAAATAGTGCAACAATTCATCACGAAATGTTGGACCCGCCCCTGATGATATATTTAGTTAAAAAACTGTTAAGTTTAAGTTTAAGACGGAACTAATCGTCTTTTCCCCAAAAGTGTCAGCAAACAATGGCTTTCGTGCTCGAGGTCGGTGCCAGAACTATTGAGACTGTTCCAGCTGTTAAAAACCTAAGGGTGTACTTTGATAGTTCACTGAACATGGAGAAACAATTGAACGCTATTGCCAAATCCTGTTACTAACCAGATCAGGAAAATCGGCTGTATGCGGCAGTATATAACTGCAGATGCATGCAAGATGTTGGTGCATTCACTTGTTACCTCTCGGTTGGATTATGGTAACGCCCTGCTCTGTGGTATATCTGACAAACTAACTAGGGTCCAGAACACTGCAGCACGGCTAGTTACTCGTACTCGAAAGATAGAGCACATCATAACATTATTCGTTGCAGTGGTTAGCCTGTACGATACAGGTCGCAGTACAAAATTCTGGTGTACACATACAAGGCACTGAATGGAACAGCTCCCCAGTACATACAGGAGCTTGTTATCCTGTATCAGCCGTTACGATCACTGCGGTCGGATTCAGAATCTGTTTTGTGTGTCCCAAAATCTCGTACTGTGTCCTACGGAAACAGATGCTTTGGGAGGGTTTCGGCTACGTTGCGTAATAGCTTACCATATTAGAAAGTCAAATACCCTGGCCAAGTTCAGGAGGGACATCAAAACTCACCTTTTCATTTCTGCATTTTAGAATCCTTGCAAAGACGTCATGTAAATACCACCCTTTTATTTGTTCAATTAGTCTCGGACTACACTCCCTGGACCCGTGAAGCAGTGAACCTGAATCTTCTGGTCACTGCACACTCGATGTTCCAGAAGATCCAAGCATCTCATGTAGACCTCTAGGCCTGTAGAGTCGGTCCGGGTTCCCCGTATGTGGAGCACCAGCGCTTTGCCTTGGTCCAATAACGTCAGCAAAGCCTTGAGCTGCCGTTCCTGGTAATGCCACTGGTCGTGCTGGTCAACTATGTGGTCGATCCCGATCTCCCCTAATTCAGCAGGTAGGGTCAAGAGCCGTGTGAGGTGCTCAATTTCCTGTGGCGCCGCTATGATCTTAGGGTGGACTCCAACCAATACCCGGAATCCGTCCTGGACCAACTCGCCGATTTCTTCTGCAGAGGGGTAGGTAGGAGGGTCGCAATACACCACCAACCCTCCCGAAACTTGGACGAGATAGTCCCCGGACTCCATGGGCATAGCTTCCTGAACGTCCTTTACGGACGCCTTGGCTCCTGGCCTCAGCCTCCCCTTGGAGCAGCTAGCTGAAGGTGCCGCGGAGGCATGGACAGTCTGGCGTATTGGTTGGGCATAGGTCCCCCCTTAGACTGTCCATAGTGGCTGGCGATCACGGTCAGACACCTCCAGTGTACGAGGATCGCTGGTGAGTTGATTAGGGACAGGCAGAAACGGTTCGGCACCGTGATGTGCAGTACCTTACACATCTCCTCAATGGCATTTTCCTGGATCGCGGTGATCTGCAAGCCCAGGCGGATGAGGTTGTGGCCATCGATATGATCACACGATTCCTGTAATGTGTCGCGTGGACCAAGCATACACTGTGCCATAACGGCGAGGCAAGTGTACCGGGTGTTCGCCAGGTCCTCGTCCAGATCTCCCCGTCTTAAGGGATCTGACGTCCGTGATTTGTCCGCGAAGATGGCCGGGACATGATCTTCGATTAGATGGAGATTCGGATAGGTCGTTTCCTTCCCGCATCCAGAGATCGTACAGCCCTGAATCCGCCGACACTCTACTTTGGCGTGCCTCTCCGTTTTGGCCTGGGATTGGTTCAGGGCTTGTTCCCGGGCCTCCGGGACTGATCTTGCACACTGGAGTTCCCGAAGGTCCGGGATCCCCTGAAATCCGTGGCGTCTTCTTCCATCCATGTCCGAGGACAGTTCTTCCTCTCTCTGGATTGAGGGGCTTCTGGCTCGGCACGACCTCTAGAGCTGCCATACACCTGCGTGGTGATTGCCCGAAGCGGAGATGGCAGGCGACGACCTGCCCTAGACTACCCGCCAGTGGCCAGAGGGTGACCTCGGCTGGGGGATCTTCCTACCCTGTTTTCCCCTCCTATCCGCCTCCTATTCGGTCCTCGGCGAGTTCTTCTTTCCCTGGGTCCATATGGCACCAGGGTTTCCGGCAAGGAGAGGACCTGGATGAGCAGTCTAATCCTCGGCTCCGGACTCAGATGACAGAGCGGTGCCGGACTCAGATGAGGCGATTCTGCACTAGCTTCTGTGCTATCGCCCGCTCAGTGGGAGATTTCGATTGTCGTTTCCCTACAAAACATCGTACAGCATCCATAAGGGTTCGATTATACCGTTCGACCTGCCCGTTTGAGGATGGTTGATACGGAGTCGTCCTTGACTTATAGATCCGAAACGACAGTGCCCGACTCTACAAATGTTAACCTGCCGTAACCCTGGACTCCCGTCTACGGGTCCAATGGAACATACCTGCACTGTTACCGGGAACTCATCTTCGGTCCCTCCCGGGTCCCACACATGGGTTCGTGATACCCCAGGCTCCTGCACGGTTTCCAGGTGGGCCACCTTTGAGATTGGCACCACATTGTCCACATTCTCAATGAACTCTGCCACTGATCATGTGCTTTCTGGCAATACCGGCATCCCCCACAGGGAAGCTCCCCTGGCTGGACGCCGTGTATGTTATGACTGGTCTCTGTCCTATTTTCCATTCTTGACAGAGCGTCAGCGTTGGTAGGGAAGGTACCCTTGCGGTGTTCCAACGTCATATTGTACTGACTCAACTCCTCCATCCATCGTGATATCTGTCTTTGCGGCTCTTTGAATCGTAGTAGCCAGGTCAGACTATTATGATCTGTCTTAATCCTAAAGGGTTTCTCCAGAAGCTAGTGGCGGAATTGTCTGGTGAGTCGCACGCGTAGTGCAGTAGCGCCTCTGTCCTTGATTTAAAGCATAACTCGCTTCTGCTCTGGAGATAAACTCGCATAGGCTATCACCTTTTCCTGACCCCCCTGGATTTGGATCAATTCGCCTCCAATCGCTCGATCGGAGGCGTCAGTGTCCAAAATGAATTCCTCGTTTTGGTTTGGCAGGGACAGCACCGGGGGCTACACACATTTCCGTTTTAATTCATCAAACGACTCCTGCTGTTCCTCCCCCCTCACAAAGTACCTCTTTCCGGTAACGTTATAAAGGGGTAGGGCGGTATTGGCGAAGTCTTTAATGAACGCCTAATGATAATTTGCAAGCCCCAGGAACCGCTCAACATCTTTTGAGCATTTCGGTACTGGCCAGTTCTGAACAGTCTCGATGTCACCCTTGGACATTTCTAAGGTGTCAGTGCTAACCAGCCTTCCCAGGAATTCTACTTTTTCCTGGTAAAAACCACATTTCTGAGGCCATACTGACGAAATCTTAACAACACTTCGGTCAAGTTCGCCAGGTGGTCCTCGAAACTCCTGCCAAGCACGACAATATCAAAACGAGGTTAATAACCCAGGAAAACGTCCATAAGGCATTTTCACAAACTCGAACAGACCGTATTTTGTTATGAACGCTGTTTTTCTACGATCGCCTTGGTCCAAGCTCACCTGCCAATAACCCCAGATTGCATCTTATTTAGAAAACCACCTGTTTCCAGATAGTGTATCTACGCAATCTTCGACCAACGGAAAGGGGTACACGTCCTTCACCGTGATGTTGTTGAGAGCCCTGTAATCAATACAGAATCTTACGGACCCGTCCCGTTTTCGCACCAGGACGGGAGCCGAGGCACACTCAGATACGGAAGGTTCGATCACCCCTGCCTCCAACATTTTATTGAGCTCTCCCTCTTCCTCCCTGGCGAAATGGATAGGGATACGCCTCATTCTCTGTTTAAGTGGAGATGCATCCCTGGTGTCGATCTTATGCTCAATTTCGCTGAAAGAACCAAGATCATACACGTGGGAAGCAAAAGCATCAGGGAAGCTACAGATGACTTCCGTCAACTAACTGCACTCCTCTTCCGATGAATTGCCTTTGGACGCCTCCAGCATATCTACTAAATGTTCCGGAATATCCTCTTTTTCCAGAGAACATGTGGCTGCTTTTGACCCTTCCTTTGTTGTCCTGCCCAACTCTGGGCTAACATCTGTGAGTTTATCCGCTTCTATAGCGGCCCCACAGCTTGACCTTTTTTCATAACCATGAAATTATCAGTCACGTTCACTACACAGATGCGTGGTTGATCCCCGCTTAGATGAACCGTCCTTGGGATCATCAGTTTGGGACTTTCATCGGCTTCGATGAAATAATAGGGTAATGGTTTATCGAGGTGACATTTTACTCTCGCCACAGAGTTGGGTGGAATGACGCGCCTCTTGACTACTGTCCCTACATACCCTTGGTGTGGAATCAAGATTCCCGACACGAAGTGGTATGGTACTCCCCCCTATGGTAAGAAGGTGATTCTTCATTTCCAACTTCACTCCTTGCCGGACCAGGAAGTCAAACCCAAGTAACATACTTTATCGGAGCCACATTCAGTATTTCTTTGGAGGCCATAGAACCGACCTTTAGGTCCACTGGGCCTACCTTTTGCCCTGACATTGACATATCCCTGCCAGCTTTAAGAAATTTCATCTTACACAGGGTTGGTGGTCTAGGCTGCAAGTTTTGGAACACCTTATCGGAAATTGTTGTCGATTCCGCTGCAGTGTCAATAACCGCATCTACCAGTGTATCCGCCACATGGATTGTTATATGATACAGGGAGTTGGACTTGACCTGATTGATAACCATAACCTCAGACTCGACTGCGGTCTGGTTATTATCTGCCCTGTCCGAGTTCCCACCCTCCTCCCCCATGCTCAATTGTGAACATGTTAAACCCTCTAGGGACCGACCGACAGTTAATACTGGGTCGAAACACTGGCCGGCGTTTCCAAACCCTTGGGGTTTGACTGGAGAATTCCCCTGGAACTGGACCTGTTTATGGAGTTGGGGGCAATCTCTCTTGAAATGGCCCGTTTTTCCGCATTAGAAGCACCCCCCATTGGAAGAGCTATTACAGCTGAAACTGTTGCCTCTGGGAGAATTAATCCGGCTCCAATTGTTTCCCCCGGGTGAATTACTCCGGCTTCTGGACTGCGTCCTTAGTTGGGCTAGCAAATCATCCATCCTGGCGTTCATCTGGGTGAACTGGGAATCCGACTTGGCGGATGCTTTTTGGGATTGGGTACCCAAAGCCTTCATGTTCTCCTCCAGGGCTGCCACTCTGTTCTCCAGGCTATTCCCATTTCTAAGTTTAGATTGTGGCTGACATCGGTCTTGACCATCCCGCCTGCCCGCCCCTCCAGGGGTACCATACCGTTTTACCTCTCATACATCCTCTATGCCTTCCTCCGAGGACGACCCGGCTGAATCACTCCTGTACCGACTTCTAGTCTCGTACGCCTTCGTCGAGTCCGTCCTGGACTTTGGTGCAGATTTTGATATGGATTATCCCGCCTTCGGGAATCATCTCCAGAGCCATCTGACTCGTTATGATTGTATCTGTGGGGTCGGTCGCGGCGTCCTTGGTGGCGATCTTGCGGTGGAACGCCCTCGCCTTCAATCATTGTGGTCATTCTGGTAAGCATCTGGTCGGTCAGCACCCCTCCTGGGTAACTGGTATTTCACTTAATTATCTAGGAATCCGGACATCCTGACCACAAACTCTTGGTCCGTCTCTTTCCTATCCCCCTTGAGTACCCGTCTTGGGGTGTCCCGCCTTGGTGACGCATTTCTCGGGGGACCATGTGTTGGGTAACCCCTTACTGGAGAATCCCGTGCTGGGGAAACGTCCCGGGGCGAAACCTGCCGGCGCATACATGGAGCATGTCCCGGGGAGACACGTCTGGGTGACCTTTGCCTTGTATCATCGTCCATGATTATTTTCAAGGGACCCGCCCCCCCCCCCCCCCCCCCCCCCTTAAGGCTCCCGGGTTTGAGGACCTTCTAGATGATGCACCGCCCGTGGCATCATCGCCATATTTTATGGCGTTCGAATATCCCTCAAAATAGGGTTAGGTTCGAAGTCGATGAGACGGCACAGCTCTGGAGTAATGCATAATCTCTGAATATGGCCTATGTTACTCATCGAGATGTTGCCCTCCTGTCGCCTAAATGCCGCGATATTTTGGGATACCATTTTCCCTACATGCGATAGGTACTGCCGTAATTCCG